TTATATCATCTGTGGCAAAGGATACACAGAATCATACCACATGTACATAATGTCTTCATAATTTATGTTTCTTCAGGTTCAGGCATTGTCACCTAACAGACACTCCCCTAAGTCCCTCTCTAATGTACAAAAATTCTTAAAATATTTATGTCCAGCATAGATGATAATGGCTTAAGATAATCTCTTTTCCAATCACATTAATTTAGTATATTTTCTAAATTAATGTTTTTATTAGGGTTAAGAAACTAGGGATGGGGGAGGGAGGAACCCTAAGCATCTAATCTGGTATTTATTTCAAGTTTATTGGTCATCCAAACTAACAATAAATGCTCCCAACATGGCTATTTAGCGCACCACTGATGTTAGCTTTCAGTATGAAGAAAGCAAAGATTTCAGTAATAAAACTTATATAAAAAGTAAATCTGGAAAGTACTGCTTGATACCACAAAGAATGTATTCAACTTGTATGAAAATAATTTAATTAAAGGTAAAATACTTAAAGAAGCAGAGTTCAGAAAAGCTTAACATGGTGGAGGGGGATTCTATGTTAGCTGAAAAGTGATATTATGTAGACAAGTGGAATAAAATTGAGTGTCCAAAAATGAACCCATGTACCTATGGCCTTAATTGGCAAGGGTGCCACATTCATTCAAAAAGAGAAAGAAAGAATTGGTACCAAGACAGCTGGATCTCCACATGTAAAACACTAAAGATGATCTATGGCCTCATACATTACATGAAAATTAGCTCACAGTGGAACAATGCCATACATATTAGAACACATAAACTAAAGAAAAGTTAAAACATTTAGGCAACAACATAAGCCTGGATTAACAATGGATTCTTAGATGATACCAAAAGCAACAGCAACAAAGTAGATCAACCAGATTTCATCAAAACGAAAAATTTATCTGCATCAAAGAACTCTGTCAATAAAGTGAAGAGACAACCCACAAAAAGTAAGAAAATATTTGGGAACTATAAATCTGAGAAGGATTTACTATCCACAAAATATTAAAAATTCCTAAAACTCAAGAGCAAAAAGGCAACTCAAATAAAAAGTGGGCAAAGGACTTGAGCAGACAATTTCCCCAATATTTAAAAATGGCCAA